AAAAAAAAAAAAAAAAAAAAAAAAAAAAAAAAAAAAAAAATGTGGTACAGCTGTCAAACACTGGCCCAGTTCAGACTTCCTGAAATGGAAGCTGAGCGCGCAGAAACTGCTCTCCAGGAGGCCCAGATAGTGTGTTGTCAGTCCGCCCAGAGCACTTGACCTCACAGTCAGCCCCTGTTTGGGGTCAGAGACAAGCAGCGATAGTGCCTTGGGCCATACAGTGGACAGTCAAAAAGAGAGAGCAAAGTGCCCCAGAGGCCAGAGGAAGCAGACTTCAGACAGGACAGCACTTCGAAGCCCACCGGGGTGGCATTCTTCTCATAGGTCTGCCCAAGGCAGAGCATCCCTATCCCTGGTAACACCCACAGGGGCCTCCTGCCCCTCCTAGGTGATGGGGCCACGGTCTCTAGACACTGCAGGGCAGTCTTCCACCCGCAGGCTGTAGGGGCCTCGTCTCTCAAGCTTCCCGGAAAGTGAGCTGAAGACCCCCATAGAAACACGTCTGCACCCAGCCTCCTCCAGCCGGCTGCCAGGATGCCTAGATGCACGTCAGGGCTCGCTCAGCCAAGGACGTAAAACATTGGGACCAACTTAGCGTCCAGCCAGAGAGTACCGCCGTGCAGCCCAGATCCCAAAAAGGTCTCGAGCTTGAGAACAACTTGGACTACGCGGCAAGACACCCCCGACCCCACCCCAGCATGCCAGCCTTTCTAAAGCCACCCCACACACACACACCAACCCTGGCTTCCTCCCTACAAGGAGGAAAGTTGATATAAAACACATCTGAAGGCACGAAGAACTGTAACCAGGAAGATGGGTGCACGAACGCCCCTCCCCTTCTCGCGCGGCAACACGTAGCAGATCGTCTGCAGCCTCTGAGGGGGCAGTCCAGGAAGCCCCGTGCTGAGGCCCGTCTGACGCCTTCTGTGCTAACAGCGCACACCCACTGCTCAGTACCTTTCACTTACCCCTGAAACAGAGATGACAAAAATCCTACCCTGCCCCTGCAAAAGAAAACGTGCCTGAGAACACGGGGCTGTCCTAACACGCTGGCTGAGCTTCCCTGTGTGGAGGTGGAGGCCATGACCTACTGCAGTGATAAATATACAGGGTGCCAGGGCCTTGCAGGGGCATGACTGGGCCTTCTTCTTGACATCTGAGTTCCTGTCCAGGCAAAGATCCCACAGTGCTGCCGGGCCGAGGACGAGAGCTCAGCCACTCTGGTCTGGTCTGTGGAACTGGGAGAAAATGTAGATTCTCAAAGACTAGGAACGATTCTAGACGACTTAGGGCTGTCTAAATTATTCAAGAGCGTTTGCCTACTCAAAACATGCAGTAGGATGACAGAATCCAAAGATGGTTAACTTTGGTGATCTGATTTGCTTTGGTTAGCATCAATTTTGGCTTAAAAAAAAAAAAGTCCTTATAAAAAACAACAAAAACATTGTGTGTGTGTGTGTGTGTGTGTGTGTGTGTGTGTGTGTGTGCCCGCGCACGCGTGCATGCATGCGCATTCGGACTAGGTTCCGTATGATCTCTTGTTCACTGCATTTTAATTGGCTATGGTTTTCTGCAGTGGTCTCTGTCTATTGCAAAGAGAAATTTCTTTGATGAAGGGTGAACACTAAACTTGCCAGTAGGGATAAGGGTAAATATTTAGAGTGTATTAGGAATCATGGAGGCTTAGTAAAGTTGGTGGCAGTATGTTTCCTCCAAAATCCATCACTTCACCGGCGCTCAGTAGTTGGCTAAGTCTCCCTAAGTCCAATCAGACAGCTAGTGGTTACAGCCAGGACGCGAGTGGCACTGCTGCGCTTTCAGAACTGTCGGGCCTCGACGGGCATTGCTGTAGTTCACAGGCATCACAGCCGGGTAGGGCTGTTGGTCGCTTCCCTCCTTTGGAGGCCTGTGTGGCATCTTCTGGTACCGTGAAAGTTAGTCCTCAGTAAAGGATGCTTTCAGCTCAAATCCAGCTCAGGTCCTCCAGGTCCTGGGTCCAAAGGACATTGTATCTTCAGTATTTGTTTATTTTCTGTTTGAGTGAGGGTTTCATAAATCCGAGCAGGCCTCAAATACATCGTGCGGCTGACCCAGGCTCCACCTGCCTCCATCTCCTGAAAGCTGGGGTTACAGGCCTGTGCCACCACCACCCCAGTTTCATACATTGCGAGAGATTGAATCCAGGGCTTCATGTATTAGCATGTATAGCATAAAGCCATAGACCAACTAAACTTGCCTCATGCCATTTGTCATGGCCTAAACAAGGTAGAAAAGTCTTTTTGAGAATGTACACGTAATTTCTGAAGTCTTTAAAGAGTGTTCTTTTTTTCACGCAACTTAAATGCAAAGCAACGGGTTAGAAATCAGTGGCTTTCTTACAAACAGATACCTTCCACAGCAGTAGTCAGTGGCTGTTTTCAGAAGGATTTTGCATGTGTCTGTGACATCTGTATTCACAGGGGAACAGGTGGGTGCTTTCAATTAGCATCCCTCTTGACTCTATCGTCACTTGCACGTTTTGTAAGTGAACAGAATCTATTCTATCTTCTCTCGGTTCTGTGACAGCAACTCTGAGGATGGATCATCGTTCTTTCCACTGTATTTCACAACACAGCAAAACTTGGAGGCTGGACTGTCTGCATCTTGATGTTTAGTGTCCGGTGAGTCTTTTCTTCACACTGACCAGTCCGGCACCTCCTCTGAACTGCTTCTCTTTGGAAGAAGGCTTTCCCTGCTCCCCAGCCCTGAGCCCCTCAGGTATCACATATAGCCATATGTACTGTCTTGTGGAGGTCCGGACTGTAGGAGGCCATTAAAGCAGCATTTCCAATGCACGGTGCTGCGTCTGTGTCCCTAAGCTCACACAGTTCTACAGGGAAATGCTCAGGATCCCCTAGAATACTGCTGTGATGGGTGGAGGGGGAGTGCCCCATCCCTCAAATGTTCTGGATATCTGAACTATATTGAGCTCTGACACTGTGTTCAAAAATCTAAATTTCAGAGCTTTTCAGATTTGGGGGTTTTTGAATTAAGAACTAGTAACAACCATGTAAACATCCCCAAATACAAATTCTGAAATGCTTGGTCCCAACTGTTTTGGCTAAGGAATACTATTCTGGTTTGATGTGAGACGTCCTGTAGAACTAAAGAGATGGCTCAATAATTAAGAGCATGCTCTGTTCCTCCAGATTCCTAGCACCCACATGGTGGCTCACAGCTGTCTGAAACTCCAGTTCTGGGGTATCTGATGCCATCCTCTGGCCCCTGCAGACAACAGGCATGCATGTGGTACACAGACACACAGAAGGCATGCAGGCAAATTACCCAAACACATGATCACACACACACCACTAGCTCATCTGTTTGAATTAGTTCAGCTTGGTCCCTTGTCGCTGGTGCTGTTCTGGAAGGTCTTCTCAGTGGAGAAAGTGGGTGACCATGTAATGGGCCTTGCCGTTTATGGCAGACCTCCCCCAGCCTTTCCCTTACTTCTCTCCACCATGCCTTCTCTGCCATATCTATCCGCCTAGACCACGGGCTAAAATAACCCCTTCCTCCCTTAATTTACTTCCCGACAGGTATTTGGCCAAGTCAGCAAGGGAAGTAACCACCACAGATGCCCAGTTTGTGGCCTCTAATCCTCCAGCCTCCTCCTAACCCCCACCAGCTCCGTGTGTGGGCTCTCCGTGATGCGTCATGACCCCATCCTACATACTCCTGCTTGCTCCTCCCCACGGCCTTCACTTACAAAAAACCTCAGCTTCCAGCTCAGTTCTCACCAAGCCCTGCCCCTCTGTGCAGCCTTTGGCTGGTAATGACACAATATGACATCATATTTATCATGGCTGGAGCTATGTTACCTTTTTCCACCCAAACAGGCTGTCCTGGTTCTTCATGGTCATGCTGAGCTCATGGCCAGGACTCCAACATACACACACACACACACACACACACACACACACACACACACACACAC